TATTTCCTCTTTATTTGGAGGGGGGAAGGAGGGTCGTCATCTTAGTCATCTTCTTTGAAAGAAGTCAGTTCCTGCTAAAATGTTTTTTCAGGAACTTTTGTCCAGCATAATACTAACTGGCTCGAGTAATAGACATTTCACCCATTCTCTTGGGAGACTGTTCCTCAGGTGAAATGGCTCTTTGGGTGGACGGTGTTCTGTTCACTTATTCACGGGGAGTCCTATTTCTGCTTGCTATTCTTCAGGAGTTTTGGGGCTGTACTTTAAGGATGAGAGATGTCCTTTTGCTCAGACACTTTTCCTCAAGTACCAAAGCATAAGTTGATAAGCATTTGCTAGATGCCCCTATATATTCCCTTCCCATCTAGTCTATATACAAAGTCCTGCTTTGTGCACAGCATGCACAGAGCATTACAGGATTTGAGGTTGGTTTGTTTTCAGAAGTTTTTGTGGTGTTGGAAAAAGTAATTTCTGTCAGTGCAGACTGGGAAGGATAATCTTGTTTTCTCGTTTGCATTTACACAATGATTTTGTAAGTTGAATTGCAAGACTTCAGACACATAGCTGTGTAAATTTTGAAAATATTTGTTTTAAATGTAATTTAAATTTGATGGAAGTTGTGAACTTGAGAATTTAATATTGAGCACCTTAAACTGGAATTTCATCTCTGTGAATGCAAAGATGGAGATTTGAAATGTTTTCTTTTTTTTTGATGTCCTTTTGGAATCAAGGAAATTACAATAATTTCATTCATTCTTTTCCAGATGGGAATGACAGGTAACACTAGTCCCTTTGGGCAGCCTTTCAGTCAAACTGGAGGGCAGCAGATGGGAGCTACAGGAGTGAATCCTCAGTTACCAAACAAGCCAGGCATGGCGAATAGTTTGTCTCCTTTTCCTGCCGACATCAAGAGTACTCCCGTCACCAGTGTGCCAAATATGGTGAGTTGTACCTGCCTGTTTCCCTTACTCATTTTGTCTTGATAGTGCATTCTTAATTCTTGGGTGATAGAGCTACTGCAACATTAATGGACTGGTTCTCCATGGTCATTTAAACATCAGGGTTGCCCCATGGTTCCTCACTACCGCTCTGCAGTGCGTGTAGAAAGTTTGTACATTTTTATGCAGTAATTTAACTTTCTAAGCAATCGCAGTGTTTTGTTACAAGAATTACATTACATCCTTTCATTTTGTCTGGGACACTTAGTTCCAAACCAGATGAAAACGTCTTCTCAGTAAGCTCTGTTTGTAGGTTTAAATTCCTAAATCAATGAGAATGTGTTGGATACATCATCAGCTTCTTGAAACTAAAGAGTGCATTTCATATCTGTTGAATCTGATACGGTAATCACACTACATGCTTCTCAGTTTATATTGTCCATGACTTGGCAGCTCGCAAGCTATGAGAGTAGTTCTTATTAGGATACCTTGCCCAAGTTTGTAGTACTCTGCTTACTAGAGTTTTCTTTATAAAGTGAAATTAAATATTCCCATTTGTCTCGGTATGTCTGCTTATTAATCAAACTGCTTGTGTAGTTTCTATGGAAACTCCAGCTTGTTGCATTTTATATTCTTATACATGATAGCAGTTACTATAGAAACTTGTAAAACCTTCCATAAGATGCAAATTGCTTATTTTTTAATTTAACTAGAAACCCAGCTATTTTTTGGCACAAGCAATGCTTGTCCTTCCATCAGTGAGTTTGCTACCTGCCTATCGCTAATAAGGCTATATATGAGAGGGAACAGGATGTAATAAACTTCCTCTTTTCGCCTGATTTTAGAGGACCACTTCCTAATTTTCGTTTAGTTACGCTGTGAAATCTTTGTTTAATACCATCTGTCATTTACTGCTTATGATGATGGGAAGGAGCTGGTGACTGGGATTAAGACCATCTTCAGAGTACCGCTTGCACTCATGCAGAATATTTGTAAAAGACAATTTGCTGCGTGACTATTCTAATTTTGTTTTTAAAATACTTGAACTTTGAATTAGGTGTAAAGCAAATGAATTACTGCTCTGATTCTGCAGAGAACCTGTAAATCTGCCCAAAGTGCTCAGGGACTGGATGATTCCGAAGCCTCATTTTCTGCTCATTTAAAAGTCAGGTTTTGGGAAGCCTAAATCTTAATGTACTTGGTTACTAGTACAGGATGTAATGGCAGCTATTCGTCTGGAATAAAAAAGGCATTTGTCATCAAGGCTTGTCTAGTGGGGGGGGAGGAAGTAAAAGAAAAAACTTTCAGTTTCCCTTCTCCCATCTTGTCTGAGAGACAGAGGAAAGTAAGGGAAACTTACTTTCCCAGTACTATCAATTGCAGCTTCTTTAAAATGTCATAAATATCAATTGTCTTCTGGGAGGACAATCAAACCCATCTTTCTTTGTTTCTCAGGTGTCAAAAGCTTTGTATGGCCAATAGATCTTTTTCTCCCTCAAGCCAATACAGAGAGTAATAGCCATTTCAGCCGATAGACATCTGTACTGTCGAGCCAAAAGGTCTCACTCAGCCCTGCTTATGGATTGTGTGGTGCTTAGAGTTTGATTGCTGTCCTGGTGGGGGTGGAACTTTCATCTTTAAAACCTGAAGTTCCCATCTAAACATTTTTATTGCAAAGCCAAGAATTTAAAAAGAAATGTCAGACTTGTTAAATTTTAACCTTTACTTGGCAGCAGTGGGTAAGGCAGTGTAATTATTTGGTAATAGTACATACATGGCCATATGCTGTTCTTTCCACAGGGACTTTGCTCTATTCAGCATACAATATGAACGGTGCCCTCTGAAAGAGCGTATAGTCAACATTTTGTTCTATTTTTGCTGCTCAGTGTGTAGCTGTGGGCCTTGTTGACTATATGTAGTAATGTATTTCACTCAGCCAATCTTTTCCAAACAGTCTCTTCTGTGGCAGTCATCACTGGAGCAGGCATATACTTTGAATTAGTTAATTTTCACAGTGCCTCTCGGAGATAAAGATGTTTTGCCCCAGTTCTAAACATGAGGGTGAGAGGCACAAAGAGAGTAAGACTGGAAGAATCTGCTGACTCTGAGTTTGAGGTTTGTAGGCTCTGGCTTGCTAAAGCCTTCCACATTTCATACGTTAAGGCATTATCTAAGGGTAAAATAACATTCACATCGGTTAGATGTGTGCTCCTCTAACTCATGGAAGTGATGTCCGTGTCTCACATTGGGCAACTAAAATATGACCCAAATGGCACTTGTGAAAAGTTGCTTGTGACAGAGGCAGCTCCCCAGAGCAGAGTTGCAGTGTTTGAACTATTACACCATGCTTTTCTTGCCGCAATCCTTTCGCCATTTGCTGTGTCCTGTGGTGCTTTAGCACCCTAGAGATGGTGGTTTGATTTAATGCGTTTGGCCTTGTGCGTGGCTTGCTGGAGACAGGGCCTGTCCTGTTCCCTGCAGGAGGCAGGAGTGAAGTGGAACGGGGTACAGGGTTGTGTTACCATCTATCAGAAATGAACCTGGGGAGGACCAGTTCAGCCTCCATCTACTACAGCAAGTGAAAGACCAACTACATCTTTTTAAAAAAGACCTCCAGGGTTTTTTGTGAGATGATTGGAACCACATATCTTGCTAAACCAGCCCTCTATACTATTCTTATCTTAAGGGGCCCAAAAGTACTATTCCATGTGAGAGACAAACCCATGTGAATGAAAATATTGGTTATATGTGGCATGTTGGAGGCAGGAAGCCAGATTCCAGCATGATGTTAAACGCTTTGGTTACCGCTAAGAATATCTAAATAAGAGGAAATAGAAAGGTGCAGCCCTTGTCTTAAGACCCCTTGGTCCTGAAAAGCAAGACATTTTTTAAATACTCCTTCAATCATTTGCCTTTCTCTGTAACCTTATGCGTACACTGCAAAAGTAAAGTGAAAGATGAGCATGTTTCCTAACCCACGTTACTCTAAGCAGCATCATGTGCAGCACCGCTGTCCCAAACGCTAACCGGGAATTTTCTCACTGCCAGGCTGGATAAACCTTTGCTGCAGCAGTGGAATGTTTGGGGTTTTTTAATCCAAATTCAGGCTACCACTCTCCTAAGA